AGATTTAAACCCTAGACTTTCAAGATAAAATTTTTGATTTTATTGATTGTGATACCCTTAGCTAGGTTTAAACTCGAACTTTTTTTTAAATGACTTTATTGGGTCATTTGGGGTTCCTACATTTGGAGGCCATCCACCATCTTGTAGAGAAAGGGGAAACTAAGGGCGATTTTGTTGCTTATCCCCAAAACAGCTGCCCGCATGGAGTTCCTGTGGGATTTTGGGCATTTGAGGTCCCAAGTTTTAGGGGGTTGGACATAATGGAACTATGGGCCATTCAATTTAAACTTTGAAATAGTTGAACTCTACGACTTCACCTCGAGAAGGAAAAAACATTACTTACCCCCCCCCCCCCCCCCACAAATGGTCCCCTTATGAAAGTTCAATGAACCCAAGTGGGGTTTGCTCTGCATATGAATTTATTGGTTTGATATTCAAATGCATGCAGGAAAGAGCGAAATCTTTGTTTGAAAACCTCGTACAAAAGTTGACATTCAATGTGCACTACTTATCCAAGGTTACATAATTATGAACCGTTATTAATTAATTACTATAATTATGGTAAGTGATGACGATATGCTTGCTTTATATGAATTATTTGAAATAAAACTTTCTCCCTTGAATGATCCCAAAACAGCAATGTTTAGGGATGGCAAACGGGTACGGTTTCGTGGATTCCGCACCGTATCCGTTCCAATTGGAGCGGGGATGGGTATAATTTTAGTGGGTAGTGGGCGGGTGTGGATTTATAAAGTGGTACCCGTCGTGGGTGGTGGGCGGGTAATGGGTTTGAGACATTACCCGCCCCGCATCCGCCCGCCCCGCATCCGCCCACCCAGCTAAATATCTATTAAATTTTGGACCATTATGAATTTAGGTGTAATTTTAGAGACTAATTTATAAATTTTAATATTATATAATATATAACATATAATTTAACTAAATATTAAGGATATTTAGTCTTTAATCTGGTATTTAATTAGGAAAATATTCGGCTCTTTGATTAAACCCATAATCCCACTAACCACGTCACTTTCCATGTTCTTTAGCCCATGCTGCCCATCCAAACACAAATTAGCCGTACTATAAGTATTAACATCAAAAGCAGCAGTTTTCATGTTCTTTAGCCCCTCAAAACCCATATTAGGCGCACTATGAGCATTAACATCGAAAGCAACACAACAATCCAGCTTTGCGACTACATGCTCCCTATAATCTGTCTCCATAACATTCGTAGAGCCACTCCTCTGACAAATTGAAGCATGTGCTGCTACCCTATCACGAACTGTCTGGGAACTAACTCCAACATCTCATTAGTTTGTTGTCAGGCGGGTCTAGATGGGTATGTCGCTAGTGGGTAGTGGGTGTGGGGATGGATTTAAAAATGTACTCTCGTGGGCGGGTGTGGATTTGAAAATTTGTACCCATCATGGGTGGTGGGCGGGTGGTGGATTGAAAAATAGTAGGTGGGTATGGGGATGGGGGATGGGGTATCCGCACCCGACCCGCTCGTTTGCCATCCCTAGCAATGTTGGGTTTTTAATCTATTACTAACTTACATTCAATTACTCGATCAATAAAGCAGATATTGGTGATACTACAAAATATAAATACACTAAATAATTGGTCAGAGATTAGTGTATTTTAACTTTAATATGGGTTATATATATGTGTGTGTATATATAAAAATAGAAAATGCACTAAAATAAATACAGAAGTGTATAGATGGGCCAAGTATAGATGATGTATGCTAGGGAAAAAGGGCAAGAAAGCCTGATTTAAACCCATGTATTTGGGCTTTAGCAGCTTGATCTAAAAGATCGATATTGTACATACATGAAAACTTAGTAATATTTAATTTTAGGGTAAACTACACAAATGACCTCCCAACTATGGGTTTGGTCTTGAAATGAATACCATTTTTAAATTTACATCAATTTTACCACTGAACTATTTAAATGGTTTCAATATAACTAGGGGTGTTTAAAAATACCCGACCCGACGAGCCAAAATAAAAAACCCGAGTTTTTTTTAAAAAAAATTGAAGTTACAGGTCGGGTACCCGGCCCGACATTTCTCAGGTTGGGCCCGGGTCACAAAATTAGATTTTTCCGGGTACTTTTTTATATATATATTTATCGATTTGAATTATGTATTTGTTTTTGTTTTTGGTTCTCTCCATTTACAACAGAAAATAATATACAAGTAAACAAATAAAGGTAATCTAAAATGGAATTATCATTGATTTGAATGGCTGTTATAAGCTCTTATTGTCATAGAAAAATGGCAAGGGCACCGATTTGAATGCTCTGTATTTTCCCACATTGTTTAAATGCTCATTCTCCAACCTGTTCAGTTAATTAAACCCCAAATAAGAAACTCTGATTTGTTCGAATCCCATGTTTCGGTATTCGAATTCGAACACATACGACACTCGAACTCGTACCCATTACCTGAAGAAATTCCAAATGCCTCGACGAATGATCTCCAAGCTAGCCACTACTGCAACCAAGGCTGTCTTACGCAGGAGCGATACTGTTTGAATGCCCAACACTTGCTGCATCCAAACCAGTCTCAATACACAGTTCAATACCTGCAAATGTACACCCGAACTCGGTATAAAACAGAATCGGAGTTTGTGAATAAACCAAGGATTGCAGATTCAAGACTCGAATTCCGAACCGAATGCCAAGTCCTAAGTGTGACTGCATGAACCAACTAGTTCAGGGGTATGCATGGATGACCCTAAACGAATGTATTTCGAACTTTTAAATTCTCTGTTTGGATGTTGGACTACGTAATTTGAACATTTAAATTTGTGTATGTTTTTTTTTAAATTAATATTTTCAAAATTGAAAAAAAGAACCGGGTACCCGTAAAATTCGAGTACCCGCAACATCCAAATCGGGACACGGGCCGAAAACGAGCTGAAAAATCTAATACTCGAAGACCTGGGTACCCAAATTTGAACACTCCTAAATATAGCCAACTGTCGTTAACATATAACGGAGGTGTTTACGTAGCAGTTAACAAAATTAGTATAATTAGGGCTTAAGTCCTTGTAAAGTTACCTATTTGCGGCACTGTATTTTTTTTTCATTTTGCCCACTACTTGTATATGATTTGTTTCCTTAGATTTTCATTTAATGCAATTTGATCCTAATTCTGTTTTTAATTTATCTAATGCCTTCATTTGAGCATTAACTTTAAAATATTTTATTCTTTTAATTAATTTGAACACCGAGATTAACTTTCATTCTTAATTTTTAATTAAGTCATAATTTCAATTTAATTTAATAAATTTATTTCTCCAATCAAGTTGTGACACATGTTACATTTCTTCATTTTTAATTAGGTCTTAACTTTTGGTGATGTGTAATACCTCGAATCACGAGTCAGTAGTTTCGGTTAACCCGAAACCCGTTAGTTGAGCCTATTAGACCGTCCAAGTCATTTTAGACCAATTCTTAAGAGTATTGGACCTAAGGTCGGTCCAAGAGTTTAGTTAGTGATGGTTTTAAGTTAGGGTAATAAGGAGGGACCAAGTTAATAATTTACTCATAGCTAGTTTTAATAGATAAAACCCCACTTTATCTTCTAGAATTTACATGAAATCAACCCCCCAAAATATCTTCTCCTACTTCTTCCTTTTCTCTCCCAAAGCCAAGCCAAAATTAGAAGCTTTTGAGATTTTCAAACTTAGTTCGAAGAAACTAAAGTAAGAAATCTAACCTCTATTCCTTAAGCTTCCATTAGCTTTTAATTTTAAGCTTTTTTTAAAAAAATCAAAAATGAATTTTTAAAGGAATCAAGGGTTTAAGTTAATTTTAGTGAATTTCAGTTATTTAGAGTGTTCTTATCTATATTTTAATCCTTAGATAAGTTAATAAACTCTTTTTCTTCCTTTTGATTAGTTAAAGAAGTTGAGAAAGTTCAAAAATAAGAGAGAAGAAAAAGGTGACCCCAAGCTAAATTTGAAAAAGATTTTAGCAACTCAACCAAGAAGGTAACACAGTTATAACTTTCTCATACCAGTTGTAGAATCATTAGAAAGAAATTTAGCTAGAAATTTTAGTTTAAGCATGTTTAGTAGATTTTCATAGTAGATTTTATGTTTAATGTTTTTAGCATGTTTCTAAGCCTTGTGTAACCTCCCTTAATTTCTTATAAGACTTAATAACAAGTGGAAAATATCATAGTAGAGAATTTGGGAGGTTTGAGTGTCATTTTCGAGTCTAAATAGGGTATTTTCGAGCAGGGTATCGATACTGTATGAGTCAATATCGATATTGTTCTTCAGCAGAATAGAAAATTTACTTAAGTATCAGGAGAGTATCGATACTCATATAGGAGTATTGATACTACAGGGTCCAAGTACTAATACTCCCCATCAGAGTACCAATAATGGAATTACTTTCAAAATATCGAAGTCAAATTTAATATTGATACCTGATTTAGTATCGATATCCTAGCTTAAAAGTATCGATACTACAAGGTGAGTATCCAACCCATCTTAATACCAATATTGATACCCAATGGTCAATACTGATACTGAAATGTTAGTATAGGTACCAGTGTATATTTTCAATTAGTGAATTTCAGGGGATTTTAAGATGAGTCTAGGTTTTCCACAAGCTTCTAATTTCATGTAATGAATATCAAAATTTTCTTTTATCCTTTATATTTGTATACTTTTATTCATCAAATTAAAAAAAAACTTAAGTTTTGATTACTTATATTATTATTTTATTAAATTTTAGCCACTTACACGTTAAATGACATTAGTTTGATGAAATAACACGTTAATGAAAATGTTTTATTTTTATTTTATCCCTCAAACTTTAGATAAAATGTTAATTATGAATCTTTATATAAACTCAAAATAGTTTAGAAAGAAAATTAATTAACCTATCTTTTGAATATATTTTCTTCCCAACCCGAGCTTTCCCTCTTATCTCGATGTGCTCTAGCCATGTCGATAGGCAATCCTACAAAAGATGTTGTGAAACCAACTTCATTTACGGACAACCATTTACAATTATTTTCTGTATAAACCAAGTTCTGAAAATAAGCTTCCGATTCCAATTACAGCTAATCAAGCCTCTTAGATTACAGTAATGGGTTAATATTTGGTATACGGCGGCCCGTTGGCATCGTTCATTCTAAAACCAAAAAAGAAAAACTCCGAACAATTGATGTAAGATCTGTACTCGGTCATGGATTTCGATACTCCAATAACCGATCACCTCAACCATCTGACATGAAACGAGAACATTGTGCTCTGAAAACAGTGAACTTCAGACAACAACCAAATCAAGGTGATCCAGTCACGCCGGGAAAGAGTTCTGATATTTTGTTGAATACATCCATAACCTGAAATGCAAATATATATATATATATAATGAATCATATCAACAATACGTCGTATCAAGAAATCAACTTTAAAATTCATATAAGCTATGATCAAGAGCAAGGAAGTGGAAGCAAAGATGAAATCTTCAACAATTATTTGCAGCGCTCATTGAAACAGTAAAAGCAACACATTTGCATGTAAGTAAACATGTAGGTTAAAAGGGTAGATATAGTGATGATATTGGCAAATGAATAAAAATTTAAATATTAAACATTAAATGTGGACGGAAGGCCTACATTACCTCCTTGTCATTTTGGTATTTTGCAATGCTCAGTGGATTTTGTGAACACTGCAAAATCAGCAAATAGAACAGAAAACCAATGCTAATTATTTAGTTTTTGTGCATGACATCAAGAGAGAAAATTAACAGTTCATAAATAAACCAGATAAAACATACATCCATGATAGCTGCTTGAACTCTTGGGTTTTGGAATGCCATGGCAACTTCAGGATTGGCCATTATTTTGGATATCACTTCTTCAGGTGTAAGCCCAATCTGGTCTGCAAATGGGAAAGGAAGATATTAAAACCCTATTCAGGCAATAAACTATATTCAACCATGAGAGAATTTGACCATCTAATAACTACGTATATCACATATAGAGTGTAAAAAAAGTTATAATATGCAAGCAATCGATATCTTATTCCAAGCATTTGAAAACCTCAAATAGAAGGTTTGAACTTACCGAATTGCTGCTTTACCTCAGGACTGTTGAGATCAAAATTTTTCAAGGAATCCATCATCCTATTGTCCCATTCAGAACTTCCACCCATATTATTTCTGAAAATAATTATCAACGCGTACATATAAGTATTTGAATTGACCATAACTCAATTAATTCTAAATAACAAGAAAATTAATAGTAACCTTAACTCGTTTAATAGGAGAAAATAAAGAGAACCATCAATTCACATCAAGTTAATAAGTTTCATTCCTAGATCTTACTCTTCAAGCACATTATAGGCATTTGGGGAAAAATTAATGAGAACTCTATGATTGTCATTCCTAATTCTTACTCTTCAAGCACATTATAGGCATTTTGGAAAAAAATTAATGAGAACTCGATAACATTTTAAAATTGTACCAAAACAGTATCATTCCGGCTCTACCTATCTGAACTTATAATTTTTACAAACATGAACAGGAATAATGCTGCTTAAAACTCATCAAAAGAAAGACAGGCTCAGAAAAAGCTTACAGCATGTCTTGTAGTTGTTGGCGGTATTGAGGATTTTGTAGCATCCCTGTAACAAATATGTGCAAAAGGAAGACCATTGATATATATTAAAAGCCATCCATAAAGTTTAAGCAAGCTTATATATTAAATGAAAAAATCACCTTTTTAGAAAAACAAATAACTCTTTATTCAGGGAAATAAAACAAGTATTCCGGGATTCGGAAACCTGGGGAAATTATTTAGAACCGACTCTAGGCATAACAAGTATACTGGCACCAAATCCCTTGGCATAAAAAAATACGGTTTGGCAAAAACTGGAAAACCTGATATCAAATTAATCAGACAAGAGACAGAACACGAATCTGTGCTCTGTTCCCACCCACCCACCCATCCTCCTCGTCCAGAAAGAAAATGAACAGAGAAATGAAGAAGGAAAGTGGTTAAGCATGGACTCACATTTAAATGTCTCGGGGTTCCTCATTTCCTCAGGCAAATACCTTTATGAATAAATAAAAGATTAAATTTCATTTGAGCAATAAATAGGTTAATTCAGTTAGAAAAAGAACTACTTGTGCAACAGGATGAAGTATATGCATAAAGACTTATCAAAACACGGAGAAAGATTTTAATTGGAGGAATTATACTTTAGAGGTGCGGTAGTAAAGTGGAATATATCATTTCCCATCCACACACACCCTCCCTACCCCTTCCCTCTCTTCATGGTTATATCCACCTTAAAAAACAACCAGACAGACAGCTTCTAATACTTGGGGTTAAATTTTCTCCAGAAGTAGAGTGGCAAATGACTTTCAGACATGAAAATCAATCAAGGAAGCAAAGGAAAAGTTAGGTTTGCTTATCTTCTACGTTTTAGATCTTACAAGCTTTTGAGAGATTTTTCGGTAGACTTATTACTATATCTTATCAAGGTCGGTCCAAGTACTCAAAATGTTAATGAAAGTCTACTACCTTTAAAATACTGACAATTTAAAGCTGTAGCTTAGCTCCATGTTCATTCATCACAACATTTGAGATACCAAGCCTAAAAATTTTATATGTAGGAACGACATAACATTGACCAAGTTTTTTTTTTACTTCTGTAATTAATCCAAAGAATAGGAATGAAAGAATGGGCATTGGACAAGCGTAAACTTACACTACACCTCAGGTACACCAAGATGACATCAATAAGAAAATAAGAAAAAATAAAACGATCGAGGAAAAGGATTTTTATTACGGATAAACCATCTGCTGCACTGTTGGATCATCCATCATTTTCTCCAAAGCATCCACAGATAAGCCAGTACCTGCTTTTCCTGCAAATGTAATAGAATGCTTTATTAAATGTTACAGAGAGAGCAAAAAGAAACTAAAAGCATGCCCAAATGCATACATGCAAGATTAAATTGTTGGCCATACAGGGGTACAACAGTACAAGTATAGCTTTGGAAAAGAAGCACAATGTATAATTCAATCATAACGAAAACAAAGGGCCACATAAGAGAGCAGCAGAAATGCATCTGTATCAATTAGGTAATAGAACCATCCATTTAATCACCATTTCGCTATGTCAATAGATGCGTCAGAAAATGTCTTTAAAAAGAGCTAACATTGAACTAAATAGCATTAATTACTACGAAAATTATATGCATATTGACATGAAAAATATATAATTTTAAGCACTTCCTTATTCTTACTCCACTTAGTGCCTCCTATTAGTGTTCCTTTATTTTAACATATGTAGCATAACTCAATTTATTAAATCCCTCATTGTCATGAGGTTTATCGATCTCTAACATGTTTGAAAAAACACATTCCTTTTCTTTAGGTTTTAGACATCAAGTAATTACCTCCTGTAGTCTAGTAAACTTTAAACCAATGGGAAAACAATCGAGTTTGCAGTTAACACAAAACTCTCAATGATTTCTTATCCTTTTCTTCAAACAGTTATTACAGCGAATACAGACCAAAATGCACCACACATTCATTTCAAATAATCATTAATGTCGGTTACAACTGGCTCTTTACATACCAGCTGACTGATAACTGCCAAAAGCACCGGCGTCCTGCTTTGATGCAGCTCCATTATCAGAAACCTTCAGACATCATTCAAAATTTTAATTTTCCAGAATAGATGTATTGAAATTACAGAACTCAGTCCATACAACCAGCCTCCAAGAAAAAGCTTAAACAACTCACATCCTTGTGGATCCGAGCATTATCTGATGAACTTAGCTCTGCCACATCTTCAAAAGCACTCTTCGACACACTTTCTTCTGGAGAAACATCCACAAAAGCTGCAAATAGAACTTTGAATCAGTCTTAAAGAAACAATCTTAAGAACAACCCCTGCAACTGGAATGGATTTAGTTGTTTAAAGAATCTAAAACCATCATTCAAAGTAGAAAATTCCGTTGATACTAGACCTCAGTTTTATACTTCCATTAAGCACACACATTATTCTAGGGAAAGAAAGAAAAGAGATTTGTTAGTTTTACCAATGTTTCATGTACTTGAATGGGAGCCATATAATGTTATATTTTACCTCAGAAAAGGAAGAGTTGCACATTATACATCACATGGCAGCAGTAAAAGTTATATTTTACCATATTTCTTTGATTTTGCAGTTTCTGTTTCACTTTTTCCTTTGGTTGCTGGATCAGTCACAGGGGCTGCTTCGACTTTCGTTGCAGGTACATCAATTGTAACTCTGTTTTGAGGGGGAGCTGGAGAAGGGGATGTGACAGGCCCTTGTGACGGGGGTGTTGGGAAAGGAAATGGGGATCCCGAAGGAAAAGCAGCATTGCCAAATTGGTTATTTTGAGTGTTCATCTGGCCCATCATGGTTTTGAAAGCTTGCTGCATTGCATGTTTCTGAATAATGGAAAGGAGGATATCATAAATCAATGAAATAACAGAGCTATTCAGCGACCTCCACCTATTGTCAATTTAAGCCATATGCATTATCTTAAGCACATGAAGGAAGTTAATCATGCAATGAAAAAATGTAGATACTAAGGCACAACTCTAACAACTCAAAGGCTATGAAAGAGAGATATATATCTAATAAACCACAACAGGGTTCTGATATGACAACCAAGAAACTTACTGTAGCACAAAATATATCATACCATTTTTATCTTTATACAAGTACTTGTGCCATAACACAGAAGGGCATAGAGTCATGCCATTGTAAAGATTATGTCAAGGCAAGCTGCCACCATGAGGTCAGCTTCCCACCACATTCAATTGAGATACGACGGATATTTAGAAGGCACAGATTATACAACTAGCTCTTACTTACTGGAGTGGATTCTACATCTTGGATTATAAATTCCACTAGAAACAACTTTATTGACAACAAGAACCATCTGGCCCCGGCCCATGGCTCCCAGGCAGGGGTCATACTTTGAGGATGCGTGAAGTGAAAGTTTTACAAATATCAAAATACAATTTTGCAGGATAAATTGGGGCCCTCTAAGCAAAATATATCTTGTTGTGAACTATCACTATCTATTATAGCCTTGATTATTGGATTTCAACGAATGTACAGTAATTAGAGTCAATTCCACAACCAAATAATTCGTTCAAATCTGGACTGCTGCATATCCATCCCAACAACAACAAATCTTCATTGAAGGCACCTTCAAAAAGAAGTGTAATCTAGACTTTCAATTTGCAGAGACCATCCAAACCAGGCAGACTAAATAAATTTTTACCCATTACTAATTTCATTGCTTCACTGAAGCGCCCAATTCTACTTCCAAAACTACTACATAAGATTCAATTATACAACTTACAGGTGAAACAATACAACCATACCTCATAGGAAAGAAACCCTCACCTTTAAGCTCGAAGATACCTGTCATTCCAATCAACTTCATTAAGATATATACAGAAAAAGAAACAATTACCAATCAATAGAAATATCATTAAATATCACTCAAAAAGACACAAGAAAAATAGATGCTTTGTGCTCTCACCCATGTAAAAAGTGCTGAGAGCCCAACACCTACTCCAATCCAGAAAAGCGGCGACCCTCTGGGAAATATAAACAGGTAAACAACTAAAAGAATAAATAACTGTTCACAAAATATACGCACACCAGAAAAATATAAAATCGGAACATCCGTCTAGTCATTACTTTCTCTCTAGTTTATCTTTCACTAACCCACAACTGCAATAAAGTAAAAGTAAACAAATAAAAACTACCATTATATCATTAAAAATTGGGTAAATTACTAAAGTTAGATATCAATTCATATATGGTTGTTTCATATACAACAAAAATAAAACAGCGTTTCATTATATATGAAAAACATGGCTCTGTTTGATAACCGCGCTTGCTTTTTGCTCATTACAAAGTAATCAAGAAGAAGAAGAAAGAGTAAGACTAGATAAATGACTAAAATGCAACATTAGTTCTAATATAGACTATTACTTTCTAATTCAGCGTTAAAGTAACATCAAATGATTTGTTAAAAAAAGTTAGTTCATTTTCCTCCAAATCCAAAAGCAGAAATTAGAAACCAAAGATAATAGAAGGAAAACAATGGATTGAATTACATTTGAGAGGACGGCGGTGGCACAGTTGGATAAGGGTTGACTCCAACGGAAGAAGTTTGTTGATTACTTGAAGAAGAAATGCTGGCAAACCTTTCATCTCCAGATTTTCCGAAAACTACACTAACAAGAACAACAAAAGATCAAATTATGAACTTTTAAAATAAGAAACGAGAGAGAGAAATAGAGAGAGAGAGAGCGAGAGAGAGAGAGAGAGAGAGAGAGAGAGAAAATACCAATTTGGGAGAGACGTCGTGGACGAGTAGGGTGGGCGGAGCAGGAGACTCTGGAACGACGAGGGGCACTATTGGGTGTCGGAAAAGTTAAGATTTCGGTGGGGGTTTTCAGAGTATAAATAGGATTATTTGTGTGTCCTAAGAGATAAAACTTTGGGGGCGGGGAAGAAGATGAAACCAACGCCATATTCATATTTTCCATGGAATTTTACAATCCCTCAGCCGAAGTGAGGAGGAAGAGTGTGAGCTATAGTGAGTCTGAGAGAAATGAAGAACACAATGGGAATGGGATCAACGACGCGGTATTGGTATATTTTTTTATAATTGATACTCATATTAATACCTAAACTAAATTGCGTGTTACTTTTGGAGGTGTTTGTTTCTTTGTATAGTTGTATTCCAATTGTGGGTTCTTCTTAACGTGATAAGCCTTCTTAATGGATTATTATTATTATTATTATTATTTAGAATATTATATTCAAGATTCAGGAATTCTTTTTATTAATTATTTAAGATTAAATAGTTATAGAAATTATTTTGTATCCAAGATTTGAACAGCATTATTCAAAACACTATCATTTTGTTCAGGTTTGTGCCAAGCCAACAGGGCTATAAATTATAACCCCTCATGCAGCTCAACCAGCATTTCACCGTATCTTCTAGTTCCATGTTCAACAAAAATTCTATGTATTCCTTCCTTCAAATACGAAGTTCTAAAATTAAAAAAAAAATAGACCGCAAATATGTCACTAACTAAGCAACTACTGATCCTCAATTTCTGTAAGAAAAGTAAGTAAATGAAAGCCATTAAACATCAAAATACGGTTTCATCCCTACCATATGATTCAGCCCTATGACAAAAATTCTGAAAGACAAGCTCTCTCTCCAACTGTTTTGTTTTAAGAACTCTTCCACGAAATCCTTCGAAATCTAGACCCGCAAATGACTACCAGAAAAAAATTAAAGCTCATATGTTGTAACCATCGTTGATTGATTAGATTAAAATCCCAAATTCCAACATCGTTGCCACTTGCCAGAACTTTGTCCTCTCAGTCGCGTTTTTTCTGATTGGTTTTTAAACCTGTATGCTGTCTAAGTACTGTAGCGTAGTTATGGTGCCGGATAAGCAGGATCAATATGAAAACATTAGCAGCCAGGAAAAGTAGGCCTGCCACCCAGAGCTGTAGGAAGACATTCATGCCTTTAAACTCGAGCAAGTAACCCCACAACAACCATTGGGTTTGAGCTCCAATCCAAAAAAGAATGCAACAAAGGCCTTTCCATTTAAGCTTCATATTGGTCCATGGCAAAATAAGAGGCAAGAGGCAAAAGAACCATACAAAGTACTGTGCTGTTATTACCTGTCCAAGAAGTAAATCAAGAATAAATACAAAATCGTAGATTTTTATGTTTACCATAATATGTCAAGGCGAATAAAGTGAGGCTACGAATGTTAAATCTGCATACCTTATTGAATGCTACAAATGCCACTGTCTGTACAAAGAAGCAGAACACAAGATCCTTTGCAAAGCAGAAAATAAGAACCAGCTGCACTATAAATTGAGGCAAAAACGAGATGAGCTTTTCCAGAACTGAAAGATCTCGTTCATAGTTAAGATAGATATGGTAGAAATAGATGGAAAAATTATGTCTTGGATCCGTGCGTGTAAGATGATAGAGCAATGCCTCGTGTAGGAATTCCCATCCATATACTCGGAAGAAAAAACCAGTACAAAGGAGGAAAACACTGCCTGAAATGAGACCAAACAAAATTCTTGACCTTGTTAATATGTTTTTAATTGCAGTCCATGCATCAAACTGATCAGTCACTTGCGAATTAATTTGATGAGTCTTCCGTTGATCAGAGGTCCAATCACATACTAATGGCTTCACACCAGATTGAAAAATGCGTGGATCAAGAAAAATGATGATGGGAAGGGCATAGATTATAGGATAAATTCTGAAGTGAACAATAAGACCATACCAACATGCAGCTTGTATAACATTACCTATCAAGAAGAAAGAAGGAAATCAAAAGAGCCAACCAAAATAAATCAAGCTAAATTGGATAACAACAAAACTCCTCTTAACGTGGCGTCCAATGCCCCAAGCGTCGACAGAAGAAACGTAAGACTTATATTAGATATGTAACATGTGAAAAACTACTGTAATGAAAGTTTTCCCATTCAGTTCCTAACTCGATACTTTCTGAATATTAATATTGAAATCAAGTAGGCAATCCAGTATCAATGCTATCACAGTAAATCCTTCCCACTAAGCCAGTAGTGCAAGTCTTCTACTCTCTAAAAAGATAACTGGATCATTAAAAGTAAAATCATAGAGTGAGTTGCATTAGAGACATATAATTCAAATAACAATATCATCCTTTATAAACACCAAACTTCCCAAGGAGCTGCTCATGCAGTTAAGACTCTCCCTTACAGGGACCAATATTCTAATTACTAACAACTTTATAAATTTTCTCATATCAGCTGAAAAATAAAGGTGGATTTAAGCTTTTAAGTTGTTTTATTTGGCAGGTTAAAATGGCTAGAAGCTGGATTAGTCCAGACTGACTGACTGCAGAAATCCCAACGTAATAAGAAGCTAATCAAGAAGAACCTAGACAGACCTGCAAATGGAAGGGATCTCTCGGCGCTCTCGTGTTCCCTCAAGATGGATTTAACATAGAGTCAGATCCAGCGTTTCCAGCTGAGTGATAATTATATCAGAAAGCCAAGCACCCAAGAATTAATTGGCACTAAGCTCAACCTTGAAAACCACATCTTAAATACAAAAAATATATAGAAGCCTTTACCTAAGAGCTATTCTTTCAGAACCCAATTTTTAGAGGCATCTATAGGACACTAATACATAAGAGAACAAAAGGGAAGCATATCAGAGTATAAGCAGGCTGACATGGCTTGATGATCAACACGGGTTAAAGTCAACAACAAAGTTAGTTAGTTATTATTCAGCAACTTTTCAGTATCTTTGTTAGCCTTTCAATTTCGACGTTAGCATTTTCAGTTATCATTTTCTGTTTCTTATCAGAGCTAGAATCAGCTGTATATAAATAAATAATGTTTACAATGAATGTAGTAGTATGTAGTGTTGATCTCTTTGATGGATCACCACGTATCAGAGTTCTCTCAAGTATTTCTCTCTTAAACATTTTGTTGTACACCTAGTAGTCATTTGTTTCATCTTCTTCGTCTCGTATACACTCACATCAAAGCATATATATTTAACCTGAAGGGGAATAACAAATCTGCATACCTTTAATAAGACATATAATAATCCACAAAATCATGGCACAAACAATAGGTTCACAGTTTCCCCGAGTTCCAATTGTGAAGGTGAATGGGTTGAAAAGCCATATCAACATGGAATACGTTATACGTGCATAGATGATCAGGCACCTTACGCTGCTTCAATATGATACGGATAAACAACCCAACAAATAAATATGCAAAACGAGGATCAGAACAAAACGCACAATGAAATTCACACATGGGTTTTATCTAAAGAAAAGGCAGAATCTTAACAAGTTCCCAAAGTGCAAAAGCAAGAAACTTAATTCTAAAATGTGTAAATTTTGATTTACTACAATTGATGGTGGAAGCTGAAAATACCTGAAGCTGAGAAGAGAAACTTTCCCCAAGAACTGGAAATAAAAGAGTTGGGAATCAACAGAAATGCAAGTAAAGGTGAATAACGGTAAGTGGTTCGTTTATAGGGAGACTGACCAGAAGCCATTAAAGAAGCAGCATCAGAAAAAACACCGTAATCCACATCTGTGTATCTAACTTCCATATGGGCATCTTGCCATTCACCATACAGGATTAGACCCAAACGGAAAATGGCTGATATGAGGAAAATCGAACGGGGTTTAAGTGAATTCATGGCCGAAGATGGTGATTCTGAAGAAACAAAATTAGACCCAACTTAAAGCCTTTTCGCAATCTGATGAAAAGAAAAGGGAGTAGACAAACTATGAATCTACAGAGATGAATGGACAAGAAATGAGAGAAAAAAATGCTTAAATTAAATGGTTATTAAAGTGCAGAGTAAATTTCTTCATTAATGTTTTAAAAATAATAAAATAGTCACAATAACAAATCGATCACTATATCATTAACAACCATTGCTTTAGTAATATAAGATTGATGTGCCACGTTAAGCATTTAGGTTTATTTTTGTCACCCCATCATCATCGCCGTCTTAAATTTTTACAGCATTCATATGTTACGCATTCGATTGGAGAACAACTTTCTCTTTTTAAACTGGACAAACAATAATAAACCATTTGCTGAGAGAAGATTTTGATGGCATAAGTTTTCGATAGAAGTTAGAAGCCACTCCAAGATTTATTATTCCATAACACAATTTCAATGAATTGATATGAAAATGCAACAATCGATAGAATATTTCTTATTAAGTAATATTTTGTTCAACAAAAGTTAATCATAGAATGTATCATATGAATAATTTATTTATAGTTCAAACATGGACAGAACTAAGATTTCAATTCAAGAGGAACAAAATATAATTAATTATAGAAATCGAAGGGGTAAAACATAATTAACTGTAAAAAATGAGATGACAAAATTAAAATAAACTAAAACTAATACCTCTAATTTAAAATTTATCCATTTATCATTTTTATTTTTGATTGAATATCTATCATTTTTAATAATAAAAAATAGAGGAGAGTGGCACGAGGCATAACTTTATCCCTGCAATTAAATAAAGTAATAAATTAATATTAACGTAAATGTTAATATCTTTAATTATGTGACTCGAAATCAACCTTAAAAGGGTATAGAATTGAATTTGATTAAAGCATATATGTTTTGCAACGAAAGGGGAAGCTCCTCCATCAACATGAAACTCACCAAACAATGCAGCAATGTTTCCTTGAAAACCAACCCCAACTAATTCTTTGGTGTGTTTAGCATTCGATTTCACATTTCTTTGGTCCTTTTAGAAAGAAAGTAATGCTGCCTTTAGTACCAAGTTTTGTTTACAAGGTAAATTTAACTATTTGTACTGTCTTGGGGAACTATAATTGTGAAAGGAACTTGACCTCTCATTCGACAGCCTAATTGAATACGAAAAGGGTGTAATTGTTGAAAAGTTTGGTCAAAAGGGAAATCACTTGGATTTGCAGCAATTAATGTCTTATTGTGAATCCATAAAAGGGTGATTTCTTGTGAAGGAGGTCAAAGTATTTTAGATCACACTGAAAATTGTCCAGTTTTCAATGGGGGATGGATTAGGAAGATGTTGCTTAGCAAACTTGGATATGGAATGATGGGAAGAAGAGCAAAAGTAGGCAATACGTGTGTCAAAAACTCAAAATAATTATTATTCATTTATTCTAATGAAAAAACATGAACAAATATTCATAAATTAAATCTAAATGTTGTGTCCTTCGAAATTTTAATATAATTTCAATCATGGGTCTAATTAATTATTTTTTTTTTATAAATTCTAAATCTAAATCTAATTCTACTTAGAGGGAAGGGAGAAGTGAGACTTTAGAAGAATAAAGAGAGTGCTCCTATTCAATCACAAATTCATGACCTAAATGAATATAAAGAAAAAAAGATGAACATCTGACCAACTGAAAACAAAGATGAACGGTTTGGATCAACCAAAGTTGTGCATTTAATTTGATGGAACACTTTCACGTTCATTTTTTTTATCCCATGTATGCACCATAGCTATAAACAGGAACATCAAAACTTTATTATAGAAGTGTAAATTTAGAACCTTATATTAAAATTTAGGGATGTGAAATTATAAAATTTAAAGAGTAAAATTATATTATTATTATAAAATATAAAGAAAATACATAAACTATATAGAAATTTAAAATTTCCCGAAATATGATCGTGCATCTCAATCCATTATTGGCTTAATTAATGACGTGAGACAAGTTGTCAAACTGCGTGGTAATTATGATTATGAGCTAATCAATTGTCCTTAATTAATAGTCTTAAACTAAACATTGAACGAGTTACGTAAGATAGGAACCATAATGGAATATAGGTAATTTGAAGTAAGCTATATATAATCAATAGCCCTAGTATTAGTAAAGTCCAAGAAAGCATCTCTTTAGAAAATGAGGGACAAAATCAGTACTTTGCTTAAAACATCCTCATTTTCCTTGTCCTAATCCAAGCACTGTGGAACTCAAATCGGTTACTGCTATAAATACAACTCTTCAATTATCCTCCATTACACTTCACCTCAAAAAACCAGTAGCCGAAAACAAAAGCAAGACAGATCAAACTTTACATGAGCCATGCAAGCAACTCGACGGCGTCGGCTACCGCGGCTGGATACCGGCACTGGAACTCGGCCCTGTTTGGCGGCGTGGCAATAGTTCTAGGACTGGTTGTCATGGCATTAGTTATTATAGCTTGTTCATGCAAAAAGTCTCCACCCAACTCCAACTACAATGGTGAAGCAGCTGCGGAGAGGATAGAAACGGAAATGGAGACGAAGATTGTTGTGATCATGGCCGGTGATGAAAACCCTACGTACCTTGCCAATCCCTTGCCTTCCACTCGCCATTGCTAACCATTTTAACAATTTTAGAGTAAATCTTTTATTTCATCTTTCTACCTTTCTTTCGATCATGTATGTTTTATTTCAAATGGATATAGGTGACTTTCTATCAAATATAATTGTGAGGCTGCGAAACTGTATCAGAATTCAGACTAATTATAACTTTTGTTTCCATTAATTAGGAATAGGTCATGCCTCCAATGATTAGGGGTGATAAAGTTTTACTCGATTTTAAAAATCAATTTTTTAATTTAATTCGACGTTAAAAAATTAACTTGCCTTGATCCAATTCATAATTTCATAAACTTGATTCGATTTTAATAATTTTAAATTCAAGTCGAGTTATAAAATAGAATTTGAATTTTTTTTTTGTGAACATGAAATTGGTTTTTAAATTTGAGTCGAGTCTCTCAACTCTACATGATATATGTATATTGCATATATTCCTTCCCCTTTCCCCATAGCCATAAAAATAGAGTGAAAAAATAGTTGTGTGATGAATGATGCAATTCACCCATAAAAAAGGTGTCACTAGGATCGTATACGGGCAGGGCAAGTGCGAATATCCCTTCCCCTTTCCCCATAGCCACCTAATATTTTCGTATCCACCACTTACCCACCACCCATGAAAGCTAAAATTTTTAAATTCACTTTCCCACACCTACTACCCAACAAGATATCCATCCTGAGTCTTGTACCGGTCTATATCTACCCATACCTTCAATTTGAGATAGGAGAAAATGAAGATCTTTAATTCTAAAAATGTTTATACCATAATATTTGGTTAAATTACAAGTCATATCCTATAAAATCTTAAGATTTATAGAATAGTCTCTAAAATTATACCTAAATTCATAATAGTCCAAAATTTATATGATGAGTAGTTAGTAGGCGGACAGATGCAAGGCAGGGTAAGGTCTCAAACCCACCACCTACCCACGACGGGTATGATTTTTTTTCAATCTACACCTGCTCACTACCCACTAAACTTATACCCATTCCCACCCCAATTGGAGCGGGTACTATATGAAATCCACGTAATTGTACTGTCTGTTATCCTTAGATGTTACATACAACTGCGTCATTAATTTTTAACATCGAGGTATTAAAACAAAACAAAAAATAAATATTATGTATGATTTTGAAACAAATAAAAATTTAGATACAAAATTAAAACAAAACTGATAATTTAAGTATTAAATGTGTAGTTTAGCTTATTTTTAAAACGGTGATATAAAGGTGGTTTTTATTTTGGCCAAATCTACTTACTTTTTGTCACTGTTTTGTTCATTAAATAAACATTATAAAATATGTTTAATTTTGAGTGATTATAAGATATATATGTTTAGAAATTTTATACAACTATTTAAATTAATTTTTTTTGAAAAATAATATTTCTTTTTATCACTTAAATTATTCAATATATTTAATTTTAAATTACCAAATATGTTTAGAAATTTTATTATTAAAATATTAGGTTTTAACAATCTAAATTACAAATGGATAAATTATATCATTCATCACTGAACTTTATTCTCTTTTCTATTTTATTCACTATACTTTTAATTTTTTTAATTTACTCACTGAACTTACTACTCATGTTTTGATCATCATGGATTATTTTATTATTATTTTTGTATGACACGATATTTATTATTTTTATTATTAAATCTAAAAATAATTTAAAATAAATAATAAAATAATAATTTATTATTATTAAATTTAAAAGGACTTAAAATAATCATTGTCCACCGTCGATCATCGTCGACCACCGTCAAGATTTGAAATTATTTTTATATTAAATAATAATAAAAAGTGTCACATCATATGAAAATGATAATAAAATAATTCAAAGTGATTAAAATACAAGTAATTAAAAAATTTACTGAGTAAATTAAAAAAATTAAAAATATAGTAAGTAAAATATGAAAGAGAATAAAGTTCGACGAGAAATGTTATATTTTACTCATTTCAAGTTTTATAAAAAAAATACACATATTTCATCTAAATTCTAATTGTTTGAGGCATCAGTCTCGTAAGTTGCACCTGAATTGTATTGAAAATAATTTAAAAATATATTATAAAATTATATTTTTGAAATACCGTACAAGAATTTATTATATATATATTGATACAAAATAGCTAGTTTTAATAAAAATAAAAATACTATTCAAAATTACAATGAATATTTACGAGTATAACTGTAAACGTAAACTAAATTATAATTAGGATTTTTTTTATAATCATTGACACAAAAATTAGCTACCTAGATCACACAAAGACCATAAAAGGGAAAAAATTAAAAAACCTAACCACTGTTCGAACAAAATAAAGATATGAACAAATCTAATTGCATCGACAAATGAACCACAAAAAGGAATAAAACTAATGAAAATGCAACGACAAATCTAAAATCAGAGTCAAACGACGTGAAAAAACTATTCATTATCGCAAAACGCGTATCCAAATCAATCTGAGGGTCAAAAGCAGAGAATATCAACATGATAATAAATAAGCATCATCTTGATCAGTCGTAGAGATACAAATCTAACCCTGAGAAAAAAAAATAAACGAAAACAACGGCCAAACTACCGAAAATTACCAAGAGGCATAGAAAAGTGTGCTACAAAAGTATAGATAAAATATGCCATAAAAGTAGATATAAACATATTAAAAAGAAAAAATTATTCTTATTAAAAACCTAAAAAATTAAAAAATATAACTTGTCAATAATCTATATCAAAACCGATGCCGTTATTAGTTAAATAAAATAAAATAAAAAAAGTTGATTTGATTTATAGAAATGGACATAAATTGTAAAAGAAAATGGATGAGGAGAGAAGGGAGAAAGAAAGAGCGACTAGGGTTTAGGAATGATTGATAAATTACGTTAAAAATTAAACTATATATATAATTATATTAATGGGAAAAGGTTATAACATTATATATATATATATATATATTGTTTTCATGGAAATTGGCATCCGAAGGAAACTCCAAGAGTCGTCCTTTTAGCTGTAAAGGCATTATAGTGGTATAAAGTTTTTAAAATTTTGACATCACTATCTTTGTACCTTTTCAACAATAAACTCATCATCTTCCACCGACAGAGAGACATGGGAATGGGGGCAGCAAATACAACAGTGAGCATCAAACTCAGCGCAGCAGCGCTACTTGTCTATTACCTTACCTCTTTGGTCTTAATTCTGATAGCAACTGCATTGCTTCTTCTGGCTTGTTCCTATATCAAATCATATCCCTCAAGCAGGAAATGGTGACGGCTCGAGTTGTCGATTCGGAGCCGAAAATCGTAGTCATCATGGCCGGAGATGACAACCCTACCTTCTTTGCTAAACCACTCTCTTCTTCACCGGTCAAGTCTGAGAAGCCCAAACACAATCTCTCTCTCTCGTCCCACACCCTCACTTTTGTTTTTCTTTTTGTCTTCAAATATACCAGCGGCACGTGTCAAGTTCTCGAAAATTAACATTTTATAAGAAATCAGAGTTCAATTCACAGGAAAACTTTTTTATGTGTTTCCTTCATATAATTTTGTATTGGCTTATATTTTAACACAGGTTGAAATTTATATGGAATAAATAACCTAATTAATAATTTAAGGTTCCATGGTTTAGGAATAATCATTTGTGATTGATGGCTTATGAGCTTGGAATCTAAGTACCATTATGCTTTTGGAGTGAGATTTTTATACGGAAGTACGTCGTGCCATATATACTTTTAGAAGATGTGTCACGTTCAATCGTGTCTTCCAAAAAAAATTATTAGATATATATGATATAATTTCAATGTAACACTGTAAAGATTGGAAGGATATATTTGAGTATCATTTTTTTTACAAGAAAATTCTATAAAAAAACATAATACGGGTAAAAGACATGTGTTAACGAAAATAAAAATTCAAACCGAATGTGGTAACCCACATGTACGAGTCTTCTTTTTAATCACTCAATATGTACATGTTCAAAATGTTATATTTAGACACTTAAAAACTAAGATTTAATCAATGGAAGGCTGGTAACATAAATCTTACATTTGTCAGATATTGATTTTTTCTTTTTCAAATGCTTAAATTTGATATTTTTAAACATACACTCGTTAAACGAACTAAGACAAGGCTTATGTACACTATTACTATTTGACTTGACTTGTGCTAAGATGCGTGTTCAACACATATTACATGTGTCTCTTCATTTTGATATTTATTTAGTTTATGTTTTGTTAATTTTTATTTATTTCATGTTGGTTTATGATAATGTTAACTTGGTCGTGTACTTCTTAAAATCCAATAAAAGAACACTTTACGAGTTGTACCTTCTTATAAAAGCAAAAATATATTCAATTAATTATGCCTTTCTATTTTTTTATGGCACATATAAAATTAAACTCATTTAGTCGTATTGCTTCGAAACTTCATTAAAATAACGTTGATTTAATAAATAATTAAAAATAAATGTCATTATGATATTTAAAAACAACATGTTAAGTAAATTAGCCTTAAGATTTTAATTTAAGAACAATTTTTAACAGACAACTTAGTTTATTACACTGAAATATTCAGTATTTAGAAGTTTGTATTCGTTATTTTTTATTACTTATATATCTGTAATTATATTTTAATTTAAACAATTGAGTTTAGATTCTTTTTATTTGGATTTGAATTTGAATAAGTATTTGGATGTCTTGAGTTTGAGTTTAGGTAATATATTTGGATATGATTTTGAATTTACATATTTAAGACTAGATAGTTTCATTTTACCCTCTTATTCAATTATTCGGGCATTTTATATGAACCCTTGTTAGTATGATTTAGTTATTAATGTGGCACTGGGCTAATTAGCTCAGCGTTTGAAATTTGTTTCTTTACGCATATTAGGTGAAGATTTATAGAGGAACAGTTTGACTAGAAGAATCTAAACCAGGCAAAAGATCATATTACATCTCGAAATTTAAAGGGCATGTATATTCGAAGTATTTATTTTGTAAATCCAAGTCGTAAATTGTTTTAAACATTTGGCCTATATATTTTGATCTTTATATCTGTGGAAGCTCCCGACTATAAATTGTTTTGTATGAGTTTTATTATCTATTTTATTAAAGTTATTCACCTATGAATCTTTAGTTTATCTAAGCATGTTAAAAATAAAGAAAAATTATTGGTTATCCACTTCATATTGGTCAACTGTGTGTCGTACTGGTGTAGTGTGTTACATCACCTTTGCTCATGTAGTAGATTAAATTTATCATTTTCATCCATATCGTATTTACGTATTAATTTAGCCCTCAAAATTGTTTAATTGCATCATTCTATGCCCTTCTCATAACTTAAAATCCTAAATTATAAACACTAAGTTAGTGTTTAGAGGTAATAGGGTTATAATTTAGGGTTTAGAGATGATAATTTAGGATTTTAAGTTAGGGGTAGGGTTATAGAATGATGCGATTAAACAATTTCGATGGCTAAATTGATGCGAAAATACAATAGGGGCGAATGTGAAAAATTAGATCAACTACATGAGCAAAAGTTACCTTTTACCTTATTTTTATTGTATATAATTTATTATAGTAATTTTAATTTTAATATAATTTAAGTCGCTACATACATGAATTATACATATTGTATTCAATATTTTAACATAATTTTGTAAGGTCAACAAGGACACATTCTTTATCAAATTCTTTCATATAGATTTATATTTTGTTTAGATGAAATAAAAGAGGAATTTTATTTAATAAAAAAAACTGGATTTTATGCGTAAATATTCGGATTACCAACAACAAAATGGAGACACGAATATTTTGTAAAGATTTTCTTTATCCGCTCGCTCCCAGAAAAGGAAAAGCAATTATAACTTCCATGGATTGCTTATGGAATTGTTTAAAAAGTGAAAAAATTATAACCTGAGAGCCTTAAAAGGTCCCAAAAAAAAAATTCACTGAAAGGAATTGGATTCTTTTTCCAAATAAAATCTGGGATTTTAAAAGAACAGCTGCAACTCAAACATCAATCGAAATATTTGATCTTGTTGAATTCTTACCCATTTCATAAGTCGGTAAAAAGGGGAATTGGCAAGGTTAACGAACCTGGGTTTTATTCCCCTCCACGTTTTCCGTGTTCTGCTACTAGATTGCATGTCCAAGGTACTCATAGCTTTTTCCTTTTACATTTTTTTCCATGGAAGTTTCATTTAGGATAGCTAGACTGCTTTTTTACTCAGATTTGTTTTATATGACACGATTAGCTTTGTTTTGGAAAGAAATGCTAAGGGCAATCTTGATTATTTTGAGTAATGTGGATTTTATTTTTATAGTTGTTGCTGTAGTTTATAGAGCATTCGATTTTGGAAACTGTATTATTTTCCGTCTTACTACTTAAGTTTCAATATGATCTAAGGGCGCAAATTTAATAGCTAAATGTGGAAATGTGAAAAACATGGATTATGGATACTCAAACTTAATTAAGAAAGTTGTAAACGATTTAAAATATTTGTCTACTTAACTATAAAGTTGGAGAACAAAGGTTTCGAAACTTATTTGCTTACCTTGTGTTATTAAGGAATTCAATTTACCAAGAAATATGATTATTTCTATTTGGTTAGTTGGATGGGAATGATGCAAAGATGATTAGGAGTTCCTGTAGTTGTTTTAAATGTTAAGGGATTATAAGCACCACAAATGCGGCATTGTGAACATTTCACATACAAATAATTGGTTTTGGGGTAGGTAGACCATTTTAGAATAATTGGAAGTCATAGAATTTTACTTCCACATTTTCAGACGTGCGAGTGGATACTGTTTTTGGGATGGGTAAAACCCTTATTGTCTTCAGAACCGTGTTTGTCTTCTCTTTCGTAGAGCATTTGCCCGCTATTGGTGTATTCTTTGTAAACCATGATTATCTGCTCTTTCAGTGATCACCATGAAATCTTTAATGATAATGTTTGGTAGTTGCTTCCTTATGGAATGAATTTATTATACATGAAAATATCATTGTGATAACTGAATGAAATCAAATCAAGCTGTTCATGGTTTCCATAGCTGACCCTTTTATTCTATTAATATAATACTGGGAGGGCATTATAATTTGCGGTGTCTTGATTCATATTATTTTCTATAGAAAATCGAGCTATATTAAAGGTATCTTGACTCCGGTTGTATAGTTGAACGCCACACACTAAAATTTGAACTTGACTAAACTCTTCAACTTAGAAATAAAACTGGGCTAATGATAAATGATATTAAACTCTATTTTTTCATTAATACAATCGTAGTTTTCTCATTTTGATCTATGGATTGCAATTATCACTGTATATTTTTGCTGTATGTCTCATACTCTCACTTTCCACAACTAATCATATTCTTTGCCATATTTATTTTAGGACAAGCCCTCCCTGTTGATGGATTACCTGAAATAAAGGATTCTTCACTTGTGGTTTGTTTTGGGGAAATGCTGATAGATTTTGTCCCAACTATCAGTGGGCTTTCATTGGCAGATGCCCCTGCGTTTAAGGAGGCTCCTGGAGGTGCACCTGCTAATGTCGCTGTTGGCATAGCTCGTCTCAGTGGCTCATCAGTTTTTATTGGGAAGGTACTTTTCTAAATGTATTTTCTTTTTTGTTTGTTATTTAGGTTATGAAATTTGTGATGGTGCTCAGGTCTGTCTGTTGGATTTTCAGTTCTATAACTTAACTTTTTCTCTAATGAATCTCCATCGTTGGTATTCTAGGTGTCTGTTCAAAAATCTTTGGTCTTTGCGTAAAATATCTCCAATATATGTATTGTTCTTGTTTCTTGAGCATGATATTAACATACCTCATTCATGCATACATTTTCCTAGTTTAGTGTCAAATCTTCTCATAGTATCCTCAGCTTATTAATATTACTTCTGTAGTTCTGTGCTATGAAATTTGGCTGCTCTACTTTGATAAAAAAAAAATCTCTGTTTTAAGTGATATTATTCAAGTTAGCCCCCTTTTACCAATTGGTTTAAGGTTGGATGCTTAACATAGTACCAAAGTTGCGGTTGGAATTTTTTCTTTTGATGTTTTGATTTATATAGATTCTTAGCTTCAATGTATTATGTGATGTGGACAGGTTGGTGAGGATGAATTTGGATACATGCTTGCTAACATATTAAAGGAAAATAATGTCAACAGTGAAGGGATGCGTTTTGATCCTGGTGCACGAACTGCTTTAGCAATTGTAACACTGAGGAGTGACGGGGAACGTGAGTTCATGTTTTATCGTAATCCTAGTGCTGATATGTTGCTCCAAGAAAACGAACTTGATTTTGATTTGATAACAAAGGTATGATGCCTCTATAACTGTTGATTAGATAACAGTAAAATCACTGAAAATATATATGTAAGAAGATAGATTAGTACCAATGATCCTCCAGGTATAATAGTTATAGAGTGAAAGATTGCATATATAATGCTGTTTGGAGTCACGTAGTGATTTTCACGTCGTTTTGTATAGTAATTCAGATAAACAAACATCCAAAAGGATACTCAATTCTGAACCTTTTTATTATGATAGATCAGTTGATAAGTTTTTTTTTTTTTATGTAAATACTTTTACATCTCATCATTTTTTAGCTTTAATATTCACCATGTTGAGCTCTTATTTTTTTCCCCCAAGGCACTGCTTCACTGGCAAAGTGTTGGTTCTTGTATAATTGCTGTATATTTCTCATTGTTATTATCGATTTTGTTTCTGTTTTCATGACTTCTGATTTATATGGTTTGAATTATATATCTTCATCTATTGGCAGTCAACAAATTTTCATCATGGTTCTGTAAGTCTTATTACCGAACCATGCAAGTCAGCTCACGTTGCTGCAGCAAAAGCTGCAAAGGATATCTCTAGATATGTTTCTATGACATTTTTTCCCTTTCTGCATGCGAGTTATTTGGATGGATGGACTCTTCAGAGCTGTGATGACTGGAATTGCCCCTTTCGATGCTTACTCCGTACATGCTTGGATATCTTTAGTCTGATGTTGCAGAGTCTTGGAAGTTTGAGCACCTTGAAAATGAGTTTGATGATCAAGCACTCTTCATCTGATAATTTAATATCTTACAAAGAGATTTAATCATTACGTTAGTCTCAATGAATACTTGTTCGAACGCTTTTCCGAATCTGGTTCTGAAGCTTAAAAGACATGATAACTGTAATAAGAAATGAATAACATTTTCCAGGAATTCAGTGGGATAGTCAAGGGCTTGGCGGTAGAAGGGTAGACATCACTGGTGCCGGGGATGCTTTTGTAGCCGGAACATTATCACAACTAGCTTCGGATCTTTCCTTGCTTCAGGTATTGACCTTTGGATTTTATAATAGTTCCATTTTATTTCCATTCGTATTGTTCCCTGAACTATTCATGAGTACAAGAGTTTATACATTGTGAACAAGAATTCAGTCAATCTCTCCTCAATAATGCAGTACAAAATGTTAAATCAAGTTGTAAGGGACTGTTTAATCTTGCAGGATGAGGATCGATTGAGGGATGCTCTGTTGTTTTCTAACGCTTGTGGTGCATTGACCGTTGCGGAAAGAGGTGCAATTCCTGCCTTGCCAACAAGAGAAGCTGTTCGTGATGCTATTGTAAAAAATGTAGCCAAGTTTTCTTCTGTAATTAGGTGACTTCCAATTTCAAGTTCCGTGCCTACATCTTTATCAACGACCAGGACTCAATCGGCATGAAACGATCCGCATATGCCTTAGTAATATTTTATCGTCAGCGTTACCTTCATTCGGTAAACTTATAGCAGTTCCGATCTTCCACATGGTGAAAAGTCTCATAATAATGGAAAGCGTCTTGCCTTTTGATTTTGTACTCTCTTTCCTAGCATATATTATATATTATATATATATATATATATATATATAAATATATATAAATGATGCTTTAAATTCGTTTAGCGAACGAATGACCAACTGGTTTTTCTGCTCTCCACTGTGGACACAGCAAATTCCTTGAATCTTCACATTTGAGCTTTAGCAGTGAATAAAGAATATATTTTAACAAATTTTGAATGGCAGTGATTTTTATTTTGTTTCATTTTTATGGCAATAGGTTATATTATAACCATAAATTTGTTTAATTTTTTTTTATGTAACTAGCAACAATGGGGAGCTGAATATTTTGGATTAAAGCACAAGGGGCAAGCCAAAAAGATAAAGGGTAAAGTACAAAAACGGTCCCTTGATTATGGGATAATGCTTTATTGAGTTCCTTGACTATTAAAAATTACAAAATGATCCCTCAATTATAGGAAGTTATTTCGTTGAGTCCCTTGACTAAAAAGTTACAAAATAGTCGCCTAATTATTAATTATGTTCAAAACTTGTTCTTTTCTATTAAAATTTTGACGTCAATCTAAGATGTACGTTAACCTACTGATTGAGATATGATAAAAATTTGATTTATAATCTCAAATGACTATTATATCTTAGTCAACATGTTAACGTCTAACTCAGATGATCCTTAAATTTTTAACAGAAAATGACGAGTTTGGAACGTAATGAATAGTCGAGTGATCATTTTGTAACTTTTAATTGTCAAAGGACTCAACAAAACGACTCCCTATAGTCGAGGGGCTCAACAAAACAACTTCCTATAATCAAGGGATCATTTTGTAAGTTTAATATTTAAGAGACTTAATAAAGTGTTATCCTATACTAGGGGACCATTTGGGTACTTTGCCCAAAGATAAAAAATAAATTTTTGCCCAAAGATAAAAAATAAATTTTCGAGAAGAATAAATTTAATGGTTAAACAAATAAATTATCAAATCTAAGTTTATAATTTTGTTTTCAAAGAATTTTTTAAATATATATGGTTTTTTATTTAAAATTTAATATTATCATCAGTTGAATATCCAAATTTATTATTATTTTTTAAATAAAGTTTTGCATGGTTTTATTAAGTGAAAAAAAAATCATCGATACAAATAATTCGAACACGAATCATAGCCAATATGATACCTCCAGAAACAAAAACATTACAATTTAACCATACAGACGTAACATAAAATTGACTACACGATGCTGGAAAAACCAAGAAGTTAACCGCACTAGAACAAACCAACCCTTTCCATACTCTGCAATAACGAAAACCAGACTACCCGTGTGCTGCAACAAGAAATATTTATGGCAAGCCAAGCCGGATCTACGACCATCCTGTTGGAAGCGTAGATGGACTCACGATAATTTATAACTCGAACTTTTATTTATACGAAACAAAATATTTTACAACGACACTCTCAATATTACAATACTGCAATACTAGCTGCGGCTAGTTTACAAACACAACATCACTATTTTAAGCTTTGCTAAGCTCTCTCAATTCTCTCTATTTTTCTCTCGTATATTTTTCTTTTTCTCACTACTCACACCACACTTTGCTACAAATTACACACATATATATAGGAGTAATAAACCAACTTAACTTGCTTCTATATTATTCTAGCCGGCGTGATTGAATTCCTCAAAGATTTCAAGACTTTTCTAGACATTGATTTTTTTAATTGCAACTTTGGATTTTCTTGCCTACATGCACATGTGATTGTTTTGTTTGCTGCCACCTTTCAATTCTTCAAAATATCTTTGCCATTTTTTATTACTCAATAATTGAGTTTGATATCCAACACTCCACCTCAAACTCGATTTTCTATTCCAAACTTTTCTTTGAGTCGGTTGAATATATCTGCTATCAATGGCTTTGTGAAAATGTCTGCTATTTGATCTTCAGTTCTGCAGTAAATTAGCTCCACATTTTTGTTCTTCACCTGCTCTCGTATAAAGTGATACTTTGTATCAATATGCTTGATTCGGCTATGAGAGATTGGATTCTTAGCAAGAGAAATTGTAGACTTGTTGTCGACATAGATTGTAATTGGTTCTTCTTGTGCCAAATTTAGCTCGTGCAAAATATTCTTTAACCACATTGCTTGGCAAGTGCACGCTGCTATGGCTATGTATTCTGCTTCACATGTTGAAAGAGCTACCGTTTGTTGCTTCTTTGATGACCATGAAAATACTGCAGAACCGATATGAAATAGATATCCAGTTGTGTTTTTCTGATCGTCTAAGTCTCCCCCATAATCACTATCAGAATAACCAACCAGCTTCAAATTTTCTGATCGCGTGTAGAATAAGCCATGATCTGTTGTACCTTTGACATATCTAAGGATTCTTTTTGCTGCAATCCAATGATCTTGTTTCGGATTCTCCATGAATCTGCTTACCAATCCCACAACGTATGTTATGTCTGGTCGTGTGATAGTCAGATATCTTATACTTCCAACGATGCTTTTAAACAACGTCAGATTCACTTGCTCTCTTGTTGAATTCAAACTTAATTTGACTCCTGGTTCTGCTGGAGTGGCTACCGGCTTGCAATCTTCCATTCTGAATTTTCTTAAAATTTCTTCTGCATACTTATTTTGTGATATAAATATTTCTTCTTGCATTTGCTTCACTTCAACTCCAAGGAAGTATGACATTTCTCCAATATTTGTCATTTCAAATTCTTTAGTCATAGCTTTCTTAAAATCATTGAACATACATGGATTATTTCCTGTGAAAATCATGTCATCCACATATAAGCACACAATCATGATATCACCGTCTTCATTTTTCTTTGTGTATAAGACATGCTCGTATGGACTCTTCATGAACCCGTTTCTCTGGAAATATTCATCAATTCTCGTGTTCCATGCTCTCGGGGCTTGCTTCAGACCATATAGAGCTTTCTTCAATCGATAAACTTTATCTTCATGTCCCTTTTTAATGTATCCAGATGACTGCTCAATATAAACTTCTTCTTCTAGGTAGTCATTTAGAAACGTTGACTTCACATCCATTTGATAAATTTTCCATCCTTTTTGTGCTGCGACTGTTGTGAGAAGTCTGATGGTCTCGATCCTTGCTACTGGAGCAAATACTTTATCATAGTCTATTCCTTGTCTTTGCTTATAGCCTTTGACAACTAGCCTCACTTTGTGCTTCTCGACCTTTCCTTCTTTATTGGTCTTTGTCTTGTAAACCCATTTTACTCCAATTGGGTTATGGCCTTCTGGTTGTCTTGTTAGCTCCCATGTATCATTTCTTTCTATTGATGCAATTTCTTCATCTATTGCATTCCTCCATTTGTCATCTTCAACCGCTTCTTCGTATGTTATTGGATCACTGTTCACAAGTAAGCAGAAAAGTGAAACATTATTTAGTTCATAATCGTTGTACCTTTCTGGCATTCTTCTCTCTCTTGTGGATCTTTGAACTTCTATGGGAGGTGCTTCAGGATCTTTTATTATGTTACTGGCATCGTTGCTGCTGCTTGACGACGATGGTACATTTTGTTGAGGACCTTGATCATCAGCTTGTTCATCTTGATTGATAAGATCATCATCTTTAAAAAATAGTCCTTCAACTTTCTTTTTCTCTTTGCTCCACCTCCAATAGTCAACTTCATTGAACTCGACATCTCTTGAAATTTTTATCTTCTTTGTAAGAGGATTATATAATCTGTAAGGTTTTCTCCTTTCATCATAGCCAATGAAAATACATTTTTCTCCTCTGTCATCAAGCTTCTTTATGGTCTGTTCAGGAACGTGGGCATATGCGATGCATCCAAAAATCTTGATGTGTCCAACTCCTGGTTTCTGTCCATTCCATGCTTCGTTTGGCGTCATATACTTCACGCTTTTTGTTGGACATCTGTTCAATAGGTAAACTGCACATCGAACTGCTTCAGCCCAGAAATTTCTCGGTAGTTGCTTGCCTTTTATCATGCTTCTTGCCATGTCCAGGATTGTGCGGTTCTTTCTTTCTGCAACTCCATTTTGTTGTGGCGTGTATCTGGCTGTCAGTTGATGGATGATGCCATGCTCTTTGCAGAATTCTTCAAATAACTTTGATGTATATTCGCCTCCTCTATCTGATCTGAGTATCTTCAAATATTGACCGCTTTGTTTTTCCGCCATTGCTTTGAATTCTTTCAATTTTTCCAGCGCTTCTGACTTTTCTTTCAAGATGTAAATCCAACATTTCCTACTAAAATCATCAATAAAAGTTAGGTAGTACCTGTTACCGCCAAGCGATGGTATGTCAAAAGGACCGGCTATATCTGTGTGTACTATCTCCAGTGGTCTTCGGGCACGCCAGGATCTACCAACTTCAAAGCTTTGTTTATGTTGCTTTCCTTTGATGCAAGCCTCGCATAATTGATTTGGAGGGTTGATCTCTGGTAGTCCTTTCACCATGCTTGTTTTTTATAACAACTTCAAACCAAAAAATCCAAGATGTCCATATCTTAGATGCCATAGCCATGAATCATCTTTGATCGCGGTCTTCATGCACTTGACTTCTCCCGACTCGATATCAATTGTAAAGAGACGATTTTGAGTCATATCAGCTTGGGCTATCAGTTCTCCTTCTTTATTTTTTATGGAAAGCGAGCGGTTCTTCATCTGCACTTCATATCCTTTTTTCAGGACTTGACCAAGACTGATGATATTACTTTTCAAAGCAGGTACATAATAAACATATGAAATATATTTCTTTTCTTCATTTCTCTGAGTAATCATGACTTCGCCTTTTCCTTTTATTTCTGCGTGCGAGTCATCTCCGAATGTTACTCGCCCATGGACTGTTTCATCTAATTTCACAAACAGTTCCCTTTGACCACACATATGG